CACAACATGAAACAAGTAGTGTAAATGTTCCTGCTCCTCATTATGTGATTTTGTGAGAGTCATTCTGTCTCAGAGTGGCAGCAACGGAGGTGACTCACTCAGATCTGCTTTCAAAAACACCTGCTGTGGGAAGCACAGATGACTGACAGCTTTCAATTGCCACACTTCGAGATCCACTGTGGAGATCATAGCAGGCCACATGTTCCCCGGGCTGCTCCCAGGCTTTGATTGAGCACTGTAGGGGAACTAACCTGGCCTTTCCTGTCTGCATAGCCTCAGCTGGCACCACTAATTCCACAGGCACAGAATCCCATGCAGCAGAGCATCCACAAGAAAACCCACTTCACTGAGAATGAGGTAGGGGAATGGGCCCATGTCCATGGGATCTAGTTGTCGTATCATATACTGTACTATTTACATGAAGCTGGCCTTCTACAGTACTGGAAAGACTTACTAAAATCACAGCTAAATCAGCAGCTCAGAGACAATAAATATTCTGCAAGGATGGCGCACCATCCCTCAAGACATAGTATAGGCACTAAATCACAGATCTCTACATGGCACTGTCTCCAAAAGGAAGGATACGTGGATCTGGGAATCAAGCGGTGAAAGCAAGAATGGCCTCACTTACAACCACTCCCAATTACTCACTTTATGCTTCACCTCCCACAACTCTGAGCTGAGCAGAGTTAAAGATCCTAGTCTTCAAAGGTTTTCTCTCTTACCAGGGTCACAGCAGTGATCCATTGAACTACAAACTATTTAGTAGTAGGGCACTTTTAACTCTGCACCCAGCGGCCAGCAAGCAGGGATAATTGACTCCGATTAGCAGGAAAAGATGGGGCTGCTTTTACACAGCGGAGACAAGAAGGAATACATGTGGAACCCAGGGGACCCACTTAGGTGCCTCTTAGTATTCCCTTGCCCAAAGGTAACTGTGAATGGACACATGCAGCAACCCCAGACTAAGAAGGGTATGATGATCTTAGGAATGAGCGTTTAGGTCATATCGCCAGGTAAGTCAACAAGATCTGCAGAGGCCATAGTTGAGAGGGAACGGGATATGGAGTGGATATTGGAGGAAAGAAAAAGTACCAGAATAGCCCAAGACCAATTGCAATGACAGAGATTATAGTTTGTCCCATTAATCTTGCCTTTGTAACTCTACCCTTAGCAAGAGGGGTTCACAAGAATCATGGAGGAGCATTACTATGAACTGATTGGTAGTCTGCAGCTGCAGCTTTTGGATCCACCCTTGAATTTGCACCATGCCAAGTTTTCCTGTGCTGCTCTCAATGACTGAGCACAGTGGAAGTACTAGAACTGAGTTGTTCCTGCCCCAATTTTGGATTCCTCTAACGAACAGCTTTAGCCCAGGACTCCCCATTGGTCTAGCTGTGACTCTCAGAATTACACTGCAATCTGGGGCTCTTCCTACTCATTCTTCCTTCCCTGTCTGCTTTCCCAGGTTCCGGTCTGCATTCTGATCTGAGTCTCCCTGCCTTCTCCTCCTCCCTCTCCCTTTATCCTTCACAAGCATTTTCTCCAATCAATCTCTTGTACTAACCCTGTCTTGGTGTCTGCTTCTCGGAGGACTGTAACTGACATACTATTTTCAAATTTCAGCAGAAGAAAATGACACCTACATAAGGTGATTAGAATGATTTAAGAAAAATCCTCAATGGGACAAGTTAGAACATAACCTAACCTTTAGTTTCTAACAGAACTCTTTTGGGTGTCAAAAATTGCTCTGATTTTCTTCAGTCAACTATTTTTAAAACTCCTCCAAAAATATGTATGAATCGAAGAATAACTCTGATGGTTGGGTTAAGACCGATGTGATATACGTTGATTTCAGAACTGCACATATGTCTATTGAGCTAGAGTGGACTGAATCTACCACTTGTATTGTGGTCCTGATGGAACACTCAAGCACAGAGCCTTGTATAGTAACTCTGGAAGGAAGGCAATAAATAAGCAAAAAGTTTTAAGAAGACACACACATGTAGTAGTTTTACACTGGGCAACCGGAAAAATTCATTAACTGATAGAATTGGGTAAATTCAGGTAGAAAGTTTTTAAAAGGAAGGAATAGATGGTGAGAGGAACTGTTTTTTTAGGGAGAGGGAAAAAGGACCTGGAGAAAAGATGCTTAATAAAAAGGCACTATAAGAGATACTTAATACAAAGGCACTAGGATGAACCCAGAGGAGAAGAATGACACCATCAAGCCAAAGACTGGGTGACTTTGGAGAATGGACTCAACATATTTCCTAATATACAATTTAATTCCAGGATATACACACTATAATATATTTACTTGTTGAGGATGTCCTAAAATAAAGCTTACAGAGCCCAGTTACCAGAGAGCAACAAAAACATCATAATCCTAAGGATTCAGTTTTAGGAAGAGCATCTTAGTACTTCCTCTTCCCATCCCGCTTTGCAAGTGGCAAGGAAAAGATATCCCCTGATAGAAAATGTGGAGGAGTCTCTGGGGGGATTTTAAATCTATTTCATCAAATCACTCACAATGTTCATTATTGTTAATTCATCAATTCCTGAAAAGCGATGGCAAACACGGCCAGAGTAACCTTCCCGGTGTTCAAATTTCTCATTTTGGCTTTCTATGACCCTGGATAATCTGGCATCATGTTATCCATCTAATTTATTTTCTCTTCAGTATACCATCACCACTCATCAGGCGGGTCTCCTCACTGCTGCTGAATATACCACACTCATTCCTGTCTAGGGGAGGAAAAATTCTCCTCTACTATTTTAGGCTCTCTGGCTGGGCCTAAGAATTAAACTGACATAAGACAGATTAACAGGCAAAAAGTACATGAGTTTTATTAAAATTTCTTACATGTACATTCTCCTTCACAAAAGAATGAAGACCCCCCCACCAGATGGTGGAACCTACATGTTTTTATAGTAGTTTGAACAAAGAGAGGCAATTGTGGAAAAGTAACTAAACTAGATAGGGAGTCTAAAGAAAGATAAGAATTATTTTTAACAAGTTCTGTTTATACAGATTTCTTTCGGCCTTGATTCCCTGATTCCCTGTCTCTGGTGATAAAAATGTCTTCTTTCCTCCCGGTACAGGGAGGGTGCCTTTTCCATAGGAGTTTTATCTCCTACTTTCAGGAATAAAAAGGAGGGTCTGAGTGCCCTTCTTACATCTGGTGCTTCTCAAGTGCCTTTAACTTAAAATAATCAATATGCAAAAGCAGCATATTTTGAGGTGACATGATCTGAACTCCTTCACCTGTCTTGTTGCCTTTGTTTGTAAGGTCCACCTGTTCCTCCTATTCATTTCTGCCCATCTTTCAAGTCCTGTCCTTATTCTAACATTTACCCTATGGGTTCAACTCATGGGGCTCCTGCCATATGCATTACATAACTTGTTACCTTCAAAATCTGCTCTCTCGTACTGCGAATATTTGTTCAATATATTTATCTTATCACCCCAACTAGACTCTGAACTCCTTAAATACATGACTCATTTGATAAATATCCACAATCATAGAATTTTAAAACTGCATCATTTTAGATGCTGAAACTGGTACGTAGACTGTCACTGCTCCAGTCACAGACACCAAAAGTACTGAAATTAATAAGCACATTACAGTATAATAAAATTGAATGCTTACTATATACTGGGCACGATTCTAAGTTCCTTATATACATTAATTCAATTGACATTGGTATCATCCTTCACATCTTTCTTCCTTTCAAATTCCATATCTAATCCATCCAATTCTATTGGCTCTACCTTCAAAATAGAGCTAGAATCCTCCCACTTCTCACCAAATTCACTAGTACCATCCTGGTTCTAGGCCCCAACATTTCTGTCCTGGATTATTGCAATACCTTCCTAATAGGTGTATTTTCAAGACAGCACAGTGTAATCCTTTCAGTTTGAAGTCATACCTCTGTTCAAAACTCTGCAATAGCCACCCACTTCACTCAAAGTAAAAGACAAAGTCCTCTATGACCTCTAAGACTGTATATGATTTTCTCCCTCCCTCCCTCACTGGATCTTCATCTCCCACTACTCTCTGCCTTGCTGGCTCTGCTCCAGCCACACTAGCCATTGGCGCGTAGGGCCTTGGCTCTAAGTTTTTTTCCTGCCTGGAGCACATCCCCAGTTATATACAGCTAACGCTCCTCCTTTAAGTTGGCTCAACTCTCACCTTCTCAGTAAGTCCTACTTTGACACTATTTAATTCTGCAACTTGCCCTTCCACCTCCTTCCTGATTCCTCTCAATCTCAAATTTTTTTTTGATAGCACATATCCCTTTTTAACATACTATATAATTTTTTAGCTGTATATTGTCTGCTCTCCCTACTCCCAAGTAAACTCCGTGAGAGGAGTGATCCTTATTTTCTTAATGGATGTATCTCAAGAACCTAAATAGTGCCTGCTACATGAAAGGCACTCAAATACTCGGTGAATGAATTTAGAAGCTAGATTTCTGTCTGCAAGGCCACTACTCTTTGGTGATGCCCTTTAACTGGCTTCTCAGCTGCTACTTGACACAAAGGGCCAAAACCACAGGGAGCCTAGAGGTCCTGGGGCTAGCTTCAGATTTAGGTTTGGAGGACAGAGGAGATAAAAGCTAAAAAAACTCAAAGGTACACTTAGCTTCTTAGGAAGTAAGGGCAAACTTCCTTTCCCTTTGCACGTCCACAAATGTTTCAATTCGCAGCAAAAGCGACTTTGAACATTCTCCAACCAGTGCCACCGTGCTTGGGCTCTGCGACGCGGCCCTTGCCCTTCCCCTGGCAGCGTCAGTGCCCTCACTTAGGTGGTTAGGCCGTGCCTAAACGTCATTCTTTTCTGGGCCGGGATGTCCCTGCCACAGCGACAAGGCGCCAATGCGGGGTACCCTCCGCGGCCAGAGGTCCCGCAGGCAGCCGCAGGGGCCGCAGCGCCGGGCCGCGGACAGGCTGCGGAGCGAACACCCGGCCGAGGCCCCACGGCGCGTCACGGGGGCGCGGCGGCGGCGACATCCCGGCTCCCGCCCGCGCCGCCGCACGCACGCGCACTGCGCCCAGCATGAGGGTCGCGGCTCTGATCAGGTAAAGCGGCGCCGGGGCCGCCTTCCTCTTCCCCTGTCAGCCTCCTGTCCCTTCCTGCTGATGGGCGGGAGCTGCCGCCGCCACCGCCGGCGCCAAAAAAACGGTGTCTGCAGGAACCGCGTGTCGGGGGCTCGGCGGCTCCTCGCCGCCACAGGAAGAGGCGGAGCCTTCGGGCTTTGCCCGGCATGGCTCGTCCCCGGTCCTGGCTCGCGCTCCTCCTCTCTGCCCCTCGCTCCCTCTCTGGTCTTCTGGCCCTCAAATCTGATTCACATTGGATTCACCTGGGGATCTTGAAAAACCACTGATGCCTGGGTCTCACGCCAGAGCGCTGGTTTAATTCCTCTGACGCGGCCCGGGGTCGGATTCTTAAAAGTTGTAGTGGGCAGTGAAGTTTGAGAGCCACAGCTTGACTCTGCTTAGTGAGCTATCCCCGCCCTTTTCTCCTGCTTTCTTCGTCCTCTTCTGTGGTTTGTTCCCTTCGGTCTTTCTGCCCGGTCCCGGGTCGGTCCTGCCTTCCTCGCTAGGCTGTTAACTAGCCCCGCCCCCTCCCACAAAGGGCCACCTCTCCCTCACCTGCCGTCCCAGGAGTGTCCGGATTGCTTAGGGCATGGGTGTGTTTTACCTTGGTGATCAAGGCCGGAGATGGAATTGTACCACTTTTACCCTAGATCCGGTTGCTCTTGCTTCGGACACTCACTACTGCTGTTAGAGTGAACTTATGATAACATACTCCCTATTCCAAAAGGAGTTTGAAATCTCTAGTAACCCATCATACTTAGGTGTCTAAAATCCTGTGACAGCCAAAGACAGGCCATTTGAAATGTTTCCATGCTCAGTCTGTAAACTGAAGCAAAAGGGAACACAATAGCAACAAAAAGAAATTTAGACTAGAATGTTTGTTTGATCAGAGTTGGATCTGTATAGAGTGTCTGAGGTACATCGCACCCATGCATTTTCTTTTGTAAGCCCACTGACGATTTCATAAACATTTTTGTTCAGTGCCCTAGATAATTGATGCTGGCTGACAATAGTAACCTTTTAAGGACTCTTGATAAAATATTCTAGTCTATTCTGTAGTTGCTGGAATATTCCAACTTCTTTTACTTCAATGCCATTTTTAGGAGACTAGACTATAGTATCAAAATAGTTAATGTTATTCAGTGAATTTCATCTGTAAAGTGAATGACTAAGCTTTGACCGTTGTGGTCTTCATTTAATCCAGACAGATAAGTGTAAAAAGTAGTCTAGGAAATGAGTAATTCACATCCACATGCAGTTTGCCAAATTTTAACCATTAAAGTAAGACACATGAACTGAAGACTCAGAAATCTTGGAGGGAAGGAGAGAAAAAGATTGGTGTAATCCATTACACTAAATGTTCTGTAATGTACATATGTTACTTTTATAATAAAAAGCAAATCACTAAAAAAAGCCAGTGTTGGAAAACTCTTGAAAAATTGTAAGATCTGAATAAGTGTTGAGAGACACGCTGTAAGTATGAATATAAAACAATATATGAATATGAATGCATACATAATACATATATACATTTATATGCATATACACTTGAATATATGTGAATTTGGACTTAATACAGTGAATCTATTTGCAATATATCTTTGTGTGTGTGGGTGTGTGTACTAAAATGAGAGATGGGATATGTGTGTGTGCTTCAGGGAATAAGTGAAACAAAGATTTTGCATATCTTTAGACCATAAATAATGTTATTTTCCTAATACACAAAATATTGAATCATTGAATTTTACAGCTGAATGACACCTTGAGGATTAGCTAGGCCGTTCTCTAATTTTATAATGAAGCATGTAAACCCAAGCACATCGAGTAATTTAGCTTAGTATCCCAGAGTTGGGAACTAAAATTCTGATCTTCTGTAGGACTTCTCATCTAACATGCTTGTGTACTTTGCGATATTCTAAGAGGTAAGTAAGGTACTCAGCATTTCCCAAACTTATTTGACGCTGAAGACCCTTTGTGCTTAAGAGTATTTGTTGGACACTAGTGTTTCACAGAACACAATTTGGGAAATAGTATTTTAAAACCATATTTGAAATCAGCATATTTTAAAATAAAATATAAGGCTTTAAGTTCTGATTGTGGGTGTATACCCTTTAATCTTTAGTATTCTAAATATTCCAAAGAATTAGATCTTTTCTTCCTGCAGAAACAGAGCAGTGAGGTTCACTAGGGGAAGTTGTGGAAGACGTGCTTCAGGGAATATCAGAATCTGAGGAAAGAAAGCATGATGTGTAACTTTACTTTGCCCCTTGCAGTCTCCCTGCCCTTGAGACGTTCTGGAATGACAGTTGTTACTGATGGAAATATGGGAGAGGCAGACAAATGTTGGGAACTCGAAAGCCAAAAGAGCCAGCTCCCAGGATAATCAGTCTCTTAGTTTCTTTGGCTTTGAATAGGTCTAAACATTGCCTGGGGGTTCATTTGCAGATCTTAAGCAAAGATTGGAAAGAAGGTAAACAGGAGGGAAAAAAAGGAAGAGAGACTGATAAAAGAAAGGAAGAAATGTGTATAGTGAGAAGCAATGGAGTATTAAACCAAAATACCGTAGAGGTTGCCATTCAACCTTGTTATGGATGAACTACTACTTGTCTTGACTAAGTGAGTTGCCTCCACCTTAGGTAGATTTGGTGCCAGAATTTAGAAGTTCCTTTCAATCTGTTTATTAGATTGATAGCTCAAGCTTTATCTTACCATCGTATGTAGTGATGGCTGAAAGCTGAGTACTGATAGTACTGCTGTTGAACTTTATCAGTGTAATTCAGCATTTTGCTTTCTATCTTTACAGAATTTGAACCCACCAAGTATGTCAAACTTTATCATTTGATTGGATCTCAAATCTTTAATTTGATCCTTTAGTTGGTGATGGTGGCCAGTTAGATTTCGTTAAGTGGAACAGAATGGATGTTTTTTCTAATTTTTCATAGGGAATTTCACCTAAGAAGTATTTAAGTGTTTAGCTGAAATGTAAAATTAAATCGTTTTTTATTTGCAAAGGACTTTATGTGTTAAGTAGAGCCACTATCACAAACCAAAGAGTATTATTTTTTGTTTAGAATGGTCTTTGTTATAATGCATATAATCTCATAAGTTCTTGTGAGTAGCAACCTTAGACATTCAGATCCATTTGCTCAGTTGCTTATGCTATGGAAATTTCATGTGGTTTTTTGCATTCTAATTGTAAAGTAGTTCCTCAAATATTCTGAAAAGCTGAATAAATAATGAGTTCTATTTTGATATCCAATGATTTTATGTTGAATAATGGTCACTAACCTGATATTTATTTATCTCTTTGTCTATTTATTTTTTAGTGGGGGGAAGGACAGCTGTTATAATATGATGCAGTGCATTGCTGCTGGGCATCAGATCGTCGCTTTAGCGAATCTGAGACCAGCTGAAAACCAAGGTAAGTGTATACCTTTTTGGGAAGTTCTCTAAATGACTGAAATTCCAACTTCATAATTGCGTTCTATTGTATGCAATATGCAAAGACAAAAAGGAACTAATATATCTTTAGCATGTATTAGATGCTAGGTTCTATGCTAAGGGTTTTCAATTATATCCTTTAATCCTCATAAGAACTCCTAGAGAGTTTTATTAGACAGGGTTACTGAGGCTCAGAGTTTTATAAATTTGTCCAAGGTAAAATAGCTAGAACAAACTTGCAGAGCTGAGACTTGAACCCTCCTACTTCAGAGTGCACTGCCGTTCCACCACAACACGTTTCCAAGTGTTGTAGGCAATATACAGGTACATAAGATACAGCCTCTAGGAGCTTGGGAAGTAAGATGTATATGAATAATGATAGTATATGAATTTTCTATTAAAAGGATCCAGATTAGCCATCTTAGATGTAAGCTAAATGCGTGAGACTTGAGAGAGGCACACAGCAATACATTTCCACTTTTTATTTGTCTGTGATAACAAGGACATCCACATTTTAGCTCATTTTAGACCTCATTTTAGCTACTCTTTTCAGTTTTCTCCCCAGTGAAATGTTCCCAGTTAGAACTTACTTTTTCCCTGTGTCCATGTCTGTGTCCAAACTTCCCCTTCTAATAAAGACACTGGTCGTAGTGGATTAAGGGCCCACCCTAACGACCTCATTTTAACTAATTACAACTGCAATGACCCTATTTCCAAAGAAGATCACATTTTAAGGTACTCTATGTAGGCCTTCAACATAAGAATTTGGGAGGGACATAATTCAACCTAAACCATACCTTTTTTTTTTTAATTGAGATATAATTGACATATAGCATTGTATTAGTTTTAGGTGTACAACATAATGATTTGGTGTATGTATATATTACAAAATGATTACCACAATAAGTTTAGTTAACATCCATCACCACACATAGTTATAATTTTCTTTCCCAATTAGAACTTTTAAAAAAAGAAAAATATTCACCAATTTGCTTTGTATACTCTTTTATTATACCCATATAACTTTAGATATTAATTGCTAAATTGTAATAGGGAGAGATTGACACTTGCCTAACTTTTTTACTACTTCTCCACATGGCTGTTTTAGGAAGATGTTTTTATCATCCCCTTTACTCAACTTCTTTCGACACTCCGTGCTTACCTCTACTGTTATTTTGGGATGAAGTAAATGAGTAGGATATGTGAAAACGCTAGGCATAGTTCCTGGCATGAAGTAGGCATCCATAAATTTAGTTGAATCTGAAGCTGGCACTAAATATTTCCTTTTTCTTCCCTCCTTCTTTCCTTTTTTCCTTCCTTCCTTCTTCAAGGCTGCCAGTCTGTTGAATTTTTCTTTTTATATCATTTTACAGTTGTTTTCTATTTATTTTATCTTTGCTTTTTATCCCCAAATGGATTGCTTGTAAGTTTGAGAGGAGAGGTCCTATCTTCTATGTTCCTTTAATTGCTCCTCAGCGCTTGGGACAGCTCTATGCCTCTGGTAGGCATTCACTCAAAGTTTACAGGTGGACAGATAAATAATGATCTAACTAGACTTAGCCCTGGAAAAGCCAGCAGTTATTTCAATCAGATATTTGAATTTTCTTTCCTTCTGTGATTAGGACCCAAGTAATGCTGGAAGTGAAGTGGGCAGATAGAGATTAGAAATATTTTATAGGAAGAAATAGAACAGGTCTGGTAGAGGGTCAGGGGTAAACACACACTCTAGGATTTTGCACTGGGATTCCGATAATGAATAATAATAGCTTTTTAGAAGGGAGGTGTTTTGAAAATGACTTCCCATTTCTGACTTTAAATAATAAGGAGACTTCAGTATTAGACTGTTTGACTAAGGGTGACTTGGAACTATACTGTAACTTGTATATTATAAAAGAAGAAGCAGAATTTACCTGCAGGTTTATGTTTTGTTATCAAAAGAAAGAAATTCCCTTTTCCCTTGTGGCCAGTCAGGCAAGTGGGTTTTTTAAGCTTTCTATCTTGAGAGGTCTTGATAGTTAAAAAGCAGATGTTTATATAATATGTAATACATACATGATACAATATAATTATATAATTTTCCTCCCTGGAGCGTCTGTCTTGTCTTCACCTTTTCTGTGTAAATTGTTACAGTTACTTTGTACTGAATCATTAATGTGTAATCTTTATGTGCTCCTGGTTCACTGGCAGGGTGGGTAAGATGACAAGCACTGCGTGTCTTTAAGTTATACCTCATTGTGGAATGGAGACATTTATTTAGAATATTGTTAATGAGAAGAAATTCAGTAGTAAATGGAATTGGAATATTATGAAGTAAAAGCTGGAAAAAAATCAGCTGAAACTATAGTAATTGTAGTGGAAGAAAATAGATGGCTATGGGTTGGTAGATGGAGAGGGTTTAGCTAATCTTGATTTAAAGTCGGCAGGAAGTTGGTGATTATTGAATGATTCATTGATTAGCTTTCCCCTAAACATGTTGTAAAAGGAACCTTAAAGAGGAATGACTGGTAGAGATGACTCCAGTATAAAGCTGGTTAGAGTGAATTCAGGGCACTGGGTTTGCAATGGATAGTCTGGAAAGAAATTTATCCCCATCAATGGGGATAATGTGAACTTGTCATAAAATTCACAAAACCATCTCTTTAAATTTGTAGTAGGAACTTTTGTGGCCTGTTAATTGAGGTGCTTCAGGCAACAGTGGAGCCTTTTGGTTTTGTTTGATCTCATACCATTGTAGCTTTGTAGCTTCCATTAATAAAAGTTGCATTGTGGTTAGGACTAAATGGAGCCTTAAAGGAAAATTGTCTTCTAGGTTTTTGAAGTCAGTAAAATGTTTTAATTATTATGCTAGCATCAGGAAGTTTCTTGCTAAGAAGCTCAAAGTTCTTTAAATATTTTAATTCGATTGTATCAATATCCTTTACAACTAATACAATAGTTTTAATACAATACAAACTAATACAACAATACATTTAAAGATTCAGTCTAAGTTTGAGATGAGGGCAGGCTGAAAGTTTTTTAGTTAACTTTGGCTCTCTCTCTATTTCCTGCTGGGACCAGGAGTAGACAGATTTATAATAATGTGAGTACCTGGAAGCCATTCTGATGTGTGGGTTCGGAAACCTGGTGAGCCAAAATGTAATGGCATATGGTGATGGTTTTGATTGTTGAAGGGGCCCTTACAGTATCATTTTTCGTGCCCTTTGATAGGATACTTTCACATTCAGTAGAAAGCCTGGACCTGCTTGGCATATATGCATGCATACACACATGCATACATATATGTTAAACCAATTGTTTTGTAACCTTTCTTTTTTTTAACTCAATAACATATTGCGAACGTCTTCCATGTCATTAAGTATTATTCTACCGTGGCATTTCCTAGATATCTTCTTTGGAACACAAATACCCCATGCAATATAAGTGTTTTGTGGATAGATAAATTTGAGAGAGAGTTTATACTCTCTTCTCTTATTAGAGCACCTTAAAGCACATTAGCCTAGGAAAAATTACAGCAAAGACAACTATTTAACATAGTTTGTCCTCATTTTTTATAAACTTATTTGACCATGAAATCCTTTTTTCATCCAATACCTATTAATATATCATGGAATTTCTATTCTGTAGAACATACTTTAGAAAATGCTTCCTTCACAATTATATTAATGGCTGTATAGTATTTCATTATATGAATATACTATAATTTTTAATCTATTATAAATAATGCTATGATGAATATCTTTGCAAATAATCCTTATATATATTCATGATTCTTTTTTCTAAAAAGTCAAGTTACGAGATTAAAAAGTCTTTTCCAATATATTACTAAGTTCATCTGTATCACCAAAAATTCTGATGTGATTCATCTGTTTTGATATTTTATCCATACTGATATTTGTGGAATCTTGTGCTGACCTGTGATTGTGTTACTGATTAGCTTAAGTTATGTTTCTGTACACATCTGTAACTACCGTAACAATATTGAATTTATATATGTTTAGACTTTTGTTGAAGTACTGAATATAAAATATATCAAGAGCATCTAAATTTTTTTCTTACAGATATTTTTCACTTATTAACTAGGTAGATATTTAATTAAGAAAGGTTTTCTACTACAACTCTAGATGTCTTTGTGAATAATCTTGAAGGATTTGAAAAAACATTTATGTAATAAAATCTTTAATTGAATAAACTAATCAAAATGTATTAGCTACATTACTCTTCTCTTTAAACATTCATTGTATATAGTTTTAAAAATTTATATATAATTGTATTTGTAATTAGCAGTGGAGGTGACTAGATCTGATGAGAACTGGATGCAACTATGGACAAATGTGCAACTCATATTTTGTTTCACTTCATCGATGCAGAGAGAAATAGTATAATAAGCTTTTAAGTTATATGTTGAGTACTTTCCAAGCAGTATAATCTAGATGGACTTTCAATTCCACTTTCTTTTTTACTCTGTTTTACTTATTATTTCCACTTTAATTGTTGCAGTGGGGTCAGATGAACTGGATAGCTACATGTACCAGACAGTGGGGCATCATGCCATTGATTTGTATGCAGAAGCGATGTCTCTTCCCCTCTATCGCCGCACCATAAGAGGAAGGAGCGTGGATACGGAACGAGTGTACACCAAATGTGAAGGTGATGAGGTTGAAGATCTCTATCAGCTTTTGAAACTTGTTAAGGTATGCAGAGTGACCAATTACGTTTACTGATTTAGTGTGTAATTTAGTAAATTACATTTACTGAATTATTTAGTAATAAATAATTTACAACTGCCCAACTATTCTTTGAAAGGATATTTTGTCTTTTTGGATAGAAAAGAAAACTGTTACTATGCCTTTATATTAAATAGTATTTAAAAATAAAACTTTTGGTATAATTTGGCACCCAGGATTGTGAAATAATATTTAACTAAGTTTTATTTTCCTTAGGATTTTGGAGCTGATGACCTTTCAATCATTTTCTTAGCAAATACTTTTTGAATGCCTACTATGTGCTTGTTATATAGTTCTAGGCACCAGGGATAGGACAGTGAGCAGATCAAAGTCCTGTTCTGTTGGAGCTAACTTTCCAGTGGAGGAGACAGACAATAAGCAAACAAACATACATAATATGATTGGTGGTGATGAATACTATGAAGAAACTGAAGCAGAGTCAAGGTGACAATGAGTGATGGCAGGGGGTGGTCAAGGAAGACCTTTCTGATATGGTCAAATTTAAATAGGCCTGAAGAAAGTGAGAAACTGAGCCTTGCTTAAATTCAGTAGAAGAGGTATAAATTAAATACTTAAGTCCCTGCATATAAGAGTTTGGCAGCCATTGTGCATTCAATGTTAATTTCTCTAGACAGAAAATTTAGGAGAGAAAGTGTGGGGCTCATATATCTAGTAGGTACTATACTCAATAAATGTTAATTAATGGAGATTATTTTATATTAAGCAATTATCTTTTCATTCTCAGTGGTAGCCAACTATGTGAATACAGTTCAGTATTCTTCTTAAATGTGAATTTTATCCAGTCAGTTATAGTCAGTCATATAAGGCGTATCTAATGAAATAGAGAATTTAAGCCAGTATTTCTTGGATGTCTTAACATTTTTTCACCAAGGAAAGGAAGGAAGATTTCTGTCCCTTCTTCTACCAAGGGACATTGCATTTCATTTTCTCATTCTTCAGAGAAGTTCAGCTTTTCAGAAGTTATGTCATGAACCTGTGTCATGAAAATTTGCTAGTCCCAAATAGCTGTACTTCAATGCTATACTTTAAATTTGATGCTGATCAAAGCTTAATATCAATTAAGGGTTTTGATTTAAAAAATATATGAAGCAATTAAATTCTTTTAAAGTTTGCTTGATTAAAATATTTCTTATTTTGTACGTCAGAACATTTTCATTTTTATTTACCCTTTAAAAAAGAAACTGATGGGGAAACATGTAACATAGTTCCATAATTTACTGTTTAGTTTGGGTAGCATAAGAAGTAGATACTTTTCAAAGGAAATCACAGGAAGCTGGTTTCTTCCCTGTGGGAAGATACATACTAATAACAACTATTTTGATTATCAAACAAGGGGGAAGGCATAAAAGAGTTCCACTTTTAATGGTCATCTCTCCATATGAGCAAGTAAGATCTTGACCATGTTCACTTTGAGTTGTGAAATACTGAGTGCAAATTCTGGATTTTCAAAATTTTCAGTGTGCAGAGAAACTGGGTATTAAGTTTTTAGCGTAAACCAATATTACAAAATGGTGGGACTCACACTAGAAGTAATTGTATTGCTTAAAAATCACTGATAACTGATAACTTTGGAGAAGCTATGTGATAATAATAGCCTTCCAAGAAAGGGAAAGATAATAAATTACTAATCAATTTAATTAAAAATGGGCAGATTAGTAGTAATTAAGAAGAAATTTCCCTTTCGATCCATGCTGTCTTTGGAGAAATGGATGCTTTACCATTATCTTTATAGTAACCGTCAGCTATGACATAAATTAATGCTAATGTTAAATCTTGACAACTTCTGCTTTGGAAGTTCGTACATGATAATTATAACTGTAGTTGAAAGAGATGTTATCCAATTGTCTGGGTCTAAATAGTTACTTCTTTTCCTGTGTAGAAATATTAATTTTGCTATAGGATATTTTAAGGACATAAATATAGGAAATATATTGCTTTTATGGAAGAGATTGTATAACCAGGCTTTTATAGTTAAATCCATTTATGAAACACTAGTGTAAAGATTCCAGTAGAGGCCTTACATATTCTAATGAATAATTGAGTAATTATGGAAAAAAACGAATCTAGAAGAGCTATAATTCTTCAAGTTAGTCTTTACTTGTTCTAAGAAAAAGATGGAGCTGCGTTTTTTAATCCTTTGAATATTAATGGAGCATTGAAAGTATTTAGATTCATTTTCATTTTAAACATTTATTTATAACAGGTTGCAGTTTTGTGACTTTCACAAGTCAGTCTTTTGTTTTTGTAGCTCTGTTTCTTGCCCCAAATATTAGAGCTAATTGTTAATTGTTGAGTAGGAGATGTTCCTTTTTGCAGAGAGTTTAATTGGCTAATTGCTGGAAAAAAAGTAGGAAAGACTTGGAAGAATTTACAGAGTTAAAAGTTTCCTATTTTGTAGAAGTCATGAAAACTAATAGAAATGTAATAAACCTTTATATCTCATCGATTACTAGGTGATTATGACATAAATATAGAGATTTATGTAGTCTCAAACTGTTTGCAAAATACCTAGTATTCATATGGCTAGTTTTTCTTTTCTTCTTTAGAATTTCTTTAATATTAAAATGTCACTTTGGTTCTCTTCTGGATTAATTTGACATATAGATAACCTGTATTATTTCCTCAAAATATAGTAATTTTCAAATTCTGCCTGTGTTTTCTTTTTAAGTCACATAAGCAATGTAATAGTTACTGAAGGATTCATATAAACACCATATCTCTATAAAGAATAAATTTAAGGATCAACATATTCTTTCTTTCTCCACTGGTTTGGAGCTACTTCTTACTGGATCTGATATCTTCCTCTTTCTTGGTTCATTCCCTCATTTCAATGGAGTTCATCTTTAAGAAACTTCATTTGAGAAGGTAATTTCAAATCCTTACATTCTGAAAATGTTCCTATTCTTCCCTCACATTTGATTGATACATTGGTTGAATTAAAAATTTTAGATTAAAAGTAATTTTTCCTCAAATCATTGAAGACATTGCTCCCTGGTGCTCTAGCATTTTGCTAATGAGAAGTTTGATGCTGATGTGATTTTTGTTCCTTTTTAGCTGATTTGTTTTTCCTCTCTGTTAACTTTTATGATTGTGTCTTTATGCTTGGTGTACTGAAATGTCACAAAAATGTATTGGATATTGAAGGCATCTTTCCCTGCATTCTTTCTGCAACTTCTTATTGAGTAGCTGCTCATCCCTGTCCTCTTTCCACTAATGATGGTTCAGGAATGGCATTAATCCAGGTGAAAGCCAGTCACAACATGGCATTCCCCTGGTCGTAGTGATTGGATCAGGGATGTTTTTGTTAACCTGTGTTGTACCAATGAAGTGTAGGATGATGGATGGTTGGCAGAAGATAAACTCTTTCTCCTGTACAGAGGGATGTATGGATGTGAGATTTAGAACTGCTATGGCCTTTTTTTTTTTTTTTTTTTTGCTGAGGAAGATTCACCCTGAGCTAACATCTGTTGCCAATCTTCCTCTTTTTGCTTGAGGAAGATTCACCCTGAGCTAACATCTGTGTCAGTCTTCCTTTATTTTGTATGTGGGTTGCCGCCACAACATGGCTGCCAATGAGTGGTGTAGGTCTGCACCCAGGAACCACATCCAGGCTGCCAAAGTGGAGTGTGCCAAACTTGACTACTAGGCTGTGGGGCTGGCCCCTGGCCTTTTTCTTTTTTGGAAGGAAGAAAACCTAGTGTCAGATCTGACACACAAAAAATGGCAGAGCCAATAGATTTGCCGTGTGAGGATGGCTCTGGGCAATCCTCTTCCATTATTTCTTTGATAATTTGCTCTATCCCCTTTTTCTGATACTCTTACTGATCAGATGTTAGACCTCCTAGATCGAATCTGCATGTCTCATGTCTTTTCTCACGTTTTCCATCTCTGCATCTTTTTGTTGTACATTCTGTGAGATTTCCTTTTTAAATGACCTACTTTCTTGTTGAAATTTGTTTTTTATTTTAGCAATCATATTTTCAATAGCCAAGAACTTACTTGTTTATTGATTGTTCATTTTTGTAACAACGTGTTTCTCCTTCCATAGATGTAACATCCCTATATCCCTCTTAAAATACAAATAAGAGATTTTAAACATTATCTTTCATTTCCTGAAATATTAATGTTTTCTTTGGGGTCTTTTTCTCATGTTTTCTTCTCTTTCATGTTGTAGACTTTTCTCAGATGTCTTGATTGCTTGTTCATATCTATGAATAAAGCAAGAGGAAAGCTGACTCTGAATGCTTTTGACTTTAGAATTTTTCTAGCCTCACATCTCGCACTTGTTACACCTGGAGTTCAGGGTATTGTGGCCTAGTTTGGTTCCTTTCTTGGCTTTCTTCTCTTCCATGCAAACAGTAGGCCGTAGCTTCCTCTTTGATTTATCAATCATCATTCCTTCTTCTGCTGCTGCTTTCTGACTCAAGAAATTAATTGAAAATTTTTTTCCATTGGTGTCTCCCTATATTCTCTTTGTTTTTTGGAGGTTATACTTTTGTTTTCATTTTAATGGAATCTCTTGATCCAGAAATCTGTGTTAATTTCATTCTAATGGAATTCATTTAATGTTCTTCCCTAAGTTGAATATTGAATTTCAGTCTTCCTCTTGTAATCTTTGATACTTTTCTTCTCTCATATTCTTTTTCTCATTAGGCATATTATCTTGATGCTGATAACCTTTATTTCCTTAATGGACACTTGTATAGTAATTTGAATACAATGAGAAGTGAATAATTGTCTTTTTTCTATTTTAAATAGAATATTTACTATTGATAGAAAGACTTGTAAATAACTGACTTTTTAAAACTAGATTTTAATTTAATATTTTTAGAAAACATCAATTGCCACTTTACTTTTTGTATTGGTTAAAATTCTTTTGATTACAAGGAACAAAAAGTCATATTCAAGCTGGTTTAAGTAAAAAGAGAATTTACTGACAATAACCT